TGAGGCAGAAAATCTGATGAACAAATGCCACTACCCTACTCATCACTAAGGAATCTCAACTTGCGTTCGAGGAGTTCGCAGCGCAGCTAACAGGGGACACAACATGATGGAGCAAATCGTCACCATCGGATTTCCCACAGCCGAATCGACACGCGTGAGGGGCGCACCTGTGCCGACGGGACGTGTTCCAGGCATTCGGTACAGTCTTAGTTAGGCTGGTCACGCAGTAAGACGGCAGGTATGTAGCACACTTACACGCACTACACATAAATCTAGAATGCGGTCAGAAGGCTCACCCATCAATTTCTTCACCGGTGGCTTCACTATTGCAGTACACCTCAGAAACGGTTCGGCGCGAATCCGAATATTGCGAATGACGGGCTGCACGGTCTTGTTAGAAGTGTTGTCGGGGAGCTGGCGCACAGCATAGGAAGAGTGGAAGGCTTCGTTCATGGCAGCTATGATCGAGTCGGTAGCGATCGGTTGCGGCCCCCAGAGAATGCGTGGGTTGTCCTCCTCCGCCTCTCTTCTCGTCCAATCATCATACTGTTGTAACACCTGGCTGCGAATTGCAACTCTGATCGTACTCGCACGCGCAAGAATGTCTCGCCGTCGTGCGCATATTCCGCGACCATGCCCGTCGGGAGCAAAACAACTTCCCGGGGGGGAGCAGCGCCTCGATGCACACGTGAGAACTTGAAGGGGATCTTCTTCCACGCCACGAGCCCCATGAGGAGGTGCATGAAATCGTGCGACGTGCGAAACGACAGGACGTGCGCAAGTGTAGCACCCCTTTAATGCTGATCGAGAGGTCCTGTTTGATGCTCTTCACGCGTAGGCCCCTGGAGCGCGGATTTGTCAGAGCGGGCGCCCAACTCCGATCCCGACTTCCTAGCCCCGCGCGCACTGCCAGGTACCGCCCACGATCAGACACAGCAAGTTGACGAATCCGCATCCCTGCGTCTCTACATAGTGGACCAGCCTCCTCGAGGGTCGCCCGATCTGGGAATGTCAGCTGGCACTTCGGAAGATTGAGGATCAGCCCCGCGGCAGTTCCCGCGCGGCGCAGGGCCCTGCGAAGCAGCGGCAGAGCGGAGACGAAATCCGAACTGCAGGCGCTTAAATCGCCGGCGAAAGCACTGAGCACAATTGGCAGCGGGGAGGGGTGTTCGCAAAGCTTTCTGATGACCGCGCCGAAGCAGAGACAGAAGATAATCCCGTTTAGCGGCCACCCTTCTTTCACCCCACGCCCGCGCATAATAATGTAATTATGTGAACCCCAAACAACCTACATCTTACAGTGGCAATATAAGTTGTAAGAAACCAATGCACGGACGACGCGACGAAGAAGCCCCAGGGCACGCAACGACCCCCCTGCATGCGGCCTTCACGTCGAACAGCGCAGCGCAGTTTCTTTTTCCTGGTCGTGAATGCCTTGCCAAATCACCATGTTGGCATCCATCCCGATAGCGCTGTCAACCAGGAGACGGCCCTTCAGGAACCCACGCTGCGAGGGGTGAACCTTGTCGCCAGCAACTTCCCCGAGCGGTACTGCGATGCACGAGCTGATCAACTTGTTGTTAGTGTTGGGTAACGAGAGGGGTCTGGTCCGGGCAGGAGTCCGCGCCGCTATCGCACGGTCATTCGAGTCGCCCTCGGCGAGGAAAAAAGCACTGAACTCGATAGTATTCGCAGACACCTGCCCCTCCTCCATTATGTGCGCATATACGCTGCAAAGACATTCCCATCCCACCTCCCCAGACGCAGTCCAAGCTGAGTACGGTGAGCCATCTGGGCCAGGCGCTGAGTCCATCTTCGCATTGAACAACCGCGGAACCAGCGCTCTGGCAGGACCCGCGGATAGCAGCACCCATCGTTTGCACGATGCTGGTAATCATCAGCGGGGATGGCTTATACCACGTCGATGAATCATTGCATCTCCGAGGGGCTCGGGGTACCAGCCTCGAGAAAACATTCCCCAACGATCGCCAAATAATCGCGCACTCATCCGGGCCAGCTTTCAGGTTGCCATCCGAGTCTACAATCTGCCGCGCGACAATCTGCCCGAAGAACGCCACGCCTGGGACATGCTTCTTTATTCTGGCAATCTGCGCTATCGCTCTGGAGCCACCTGAACTTGCGCCTCCAGCCTAGGAGCTCGTCGACTCCTGGGTGTCGCCGCGGGGGCCCATGAACTCGCGAAGTCTGGGGGGCCACTTTACGGGGATCGCCAAGTCGAGCACCGCGTATCACAAGCAAAATGCAGGCCATCTTCTCTGCAGGGGCCGCCACCCCTTACTCAGATGCGCATGAGCGAACTTCCCGACGGCCAAACCGCAGGACCTCTTTGATCTCCTCAAGCCTCGTGAACACATTCTCCGAAAGCACGGCGTCTTCCAAGTGCTCCGAAATCACCCCCTCGAGTTTCCAGTGCCTAGGAACCCGCGTCGGGATCCTACAAGGGCCCTCAGGGGACCACTCTGGTAGTGCAGCATATACAGGCGCGTGGTCGGACGGGGCCGTCAAGCCGGCAATGGGCCACGCAATGCTGGCGCGCGGGCAACAATCCGGAACTTCTTGAGCACTTAGTGTAGTGTAAATTATGTCTAACTGCCATAGGATATGTCATGCTCACGAACATTGCGACGCGCGTCATGCCCCTGCGAAGTTCGCCTGGATGCGGCAGACAAGTGGAAATAGCTTACGCGAGCCGATTGTGGACGGCCCCTCTTCACACGTCATGGCACGCAGGCGGGATTGACCCAAGGCGGGAAAGTTGCAGTCACGACGCATGCAATGGAGGTGGAGGGAGACGAGATAGCACTACGCAGGCGCTCAAACATCCTCTTGGTCTCTCCTTCGCCCCAGTCTAGAACAACATGCACACTGAACAACTGCAGGGGGGCCCGAGGGCCCTCCAAGGAGACGCCGAGCACGCGCCCAGCGCAAAGATAATGAAGATCAGCTCGGTTGAAAAGGCCCAGCACCGCACGCGAGATGAAAAGGACGACCCCACCAGCATCCGCCGAGGAACAGAAAGCACCGAATGGCACGTGCGACTTGGAGTCCTTCTTGCGCTGCTCAATATCATCTGAACCCCCGCGAACCTTCTGTGACCCGACTACATCATGTTCGGCAAGAAGGGCACGAAGCTACAACACTTGTTGCGAAGGCTCTGATGGTCGGCGAAGACAGACCCGAAAGTCGTGTGAACATTCCATCCATGTAGCACCACGGAATCTCTTGGACAATGGGAACGGGGCAGAACGTGGCAATGGCGAGGAAGAGGAGGAAGCACTGCTGGGCGGCAAACTAAAATTCAAACTGTCTTTAAACTATGCACCTTCGCGCACCTCTGACATCGACCCCTTTTCCGAAGCCAGAGTATTATCTTGCCGACTGTGCTGCGGATGCGCAACCTAGCGCACCGCCTTACTCTCGCCGTTGATGCCCCACTCCTTGCATATCTCAATGTTCGGGTGGACCTTCTCATTCTGGCTTCCCTTGTTTGAGCATTGCCCCAGCTTCCAGGCATCGTCGTCCGAGCGCACGATGAGGACTCTTTCGAAGCCGTTGACTCCTGGGCGGCACGTCCGGCTCCATCTGCCAGACTTCTTCAGCCCTGCAAGAAAGGGCTCGAAGATCACATTGCATACGCGCTGTCGCATTCTCATGTCGTTCGGCAGATCCCGACGGCACCTCATGGCAGCGACCTGTCTGGTCCTCGGGTCGATGCACCCGTGGCCGCCGTCCTCGTTGCGCCTGGCCTGGAGAGCCCCGGCAGCAACCGTCGTTGGGAATGCGATCTGGCAGCTCCGGGACATGCCCGGGCGGAAGCCCTGCACACTCTCGAGCAGGTGCTCGCACCTCGGCCCCGACCGTCTCCTCGCAGTGCTTCCCTCTCGAGCTGACCGAAGGACAGGCCGAGGGAACGTCCCGATGGAGCGAACCTCTGGGTCGACGGGGACTCGCCAACGAAGGACCTCCTCTGCCTCCAGCACCAGCCACCTCACCCACGACCTCCCAGGGCCCACCAGGGCCGCCACCACCATCTGCTGCTACCGATGCCCTCGACGATCCAGCACGGAGATCATTCCGCTGCTGCTGCATGCGCGCCAACTTCACGTCGACTGCGGCGCTCATTGCTGCGGTGATTGACTCAGACGCGTTCTCTACAACTTTCAACCGTTCGATAAAACATGTTGCAGGTTCTTGTCTGTTCGGTCCATAACTCCACGAAAAGTCTGATGTTATTGGTGGACATTCTGCTCCATGATGGTGAGCTTGCAGTTGGTCGACTTGACTTCCTCAATCATCTCCTTCATCCAGCTGGGCGGCTTCTCTGGCTCAGGGCCGCTGTCGATGAGAATCCTTTGGTGACTGCGATCGCGGCGATCCCTGCTTCCTGAGCTCGCCCCGCGTCTGCTTCGACGTGCTGCTGATGATGCCTGCGGACTATAGATCGGCGAACGATCAGGAGAGTATGAATCACGACCACCCTTCTTGCAAGCCTTCTTCACCCTCGTTCCCATGGTACTGGAGCGGTTCGCACTTCCCCGCGTTCAGGAACTGGAAAGACCTCAATTTACCCAGCCAAGGCAATGCGCGAGAGACTGGCAGAGGCCGAAACGTACCGTGCTCTGGCGCACAAGGTGGAGAGGATACTGGGGCCTGTCCCCAAGAGCTGGACCCTGAGCCTCCCCTCGGCTAGGACCAAGCTCGATGCGCCAGGGACGCGTTTCGAACTTGAGCCAGATGGCTTGAGCCAAAATGGCTTGAGCCAAAATGGCTACGGGAAAAGAGGAGAGGAGGAGGAGAAGAAGAAGAGCAGGAGGAGGAGGCGGGGGAAGGATGAGGAGGAGGAGGAGGAGGAGGAGGAAGAGGAGGAGAAGGCGGAGAACCCAGGCACGAAGAACAGAAGAGGATCCCTCCAAGGCCGGGCTTGCTCTGCACCCTCGCGCCAGCTGTCTTCAATGCCGTGGGCGTGTCGCCCCCCCGTCCTTCACGTACGCGTTCCACAAGTAGAGCGACAGCGCACTGCCGTCGTCCGACGGGGGCTGCTCCTGCAGATCACGGCAGGTGGTCGCCGTCGCCGCCGCCGCCGTCGTCGTGACGCCGCCGCCGCCGCCGCCAACGCCAACGCCAACGCCAACCCAACGCCGACGCCGACGCCGACGGCGACGCCGACGCCACTGACGACGCCGACGACGACGACCGCGGCGATGACCCGTGGGCAAAGCAAGGAGCGCGCCTCTATGGGGGGGGCTCAGAGGGGCGCGTCCGGCCCAGCCCTCAAACCAGGTGGTGAGATATCAGGTGGTACTAGAATCCCCAAAAAGCCACCGCCAGGTCCTGGGACACGGGGTCACCGCCGGGTTGTGTGACTCCTGCACCCTCCAGCGTTCGGGACATACTCGAAAAAGCAGGCAAGTCCCCAAACCGGGGGGGGACACGATATCGCCCGACACTCACCGCCGGGTGTTGTCACCACCACTAGAGGCCTCCCATATGGGGTCGGAGTAGATGGGGTCGGATGATCGCGCCGCATCGCCGATACACCGGCGATGCATCGGCGATGCATCGGCGATGCATCGGCGATGCACCGGCGATGCACCGGCGATGCAGCGGCAACGTCGGCGTGGAGAAAATCGGGCTCCACATCGAGCCGCATCGCCGATGCCTCGGCGATGCGGCGCGATCCTCCGACCCCATCCGCTCCGACCCCATCCAGGAGGCTTAGAACTTACCGCCGGGTGTTGTCGCCACCACGTTCCCAGACCCCAGACGTTGTGATTTCTTCACAACGTCGACCCCCAGAGGTCTGGACCCTTTCCCCAGGACCAGTTTTTCATCCTGAGCCATTTTTAACGGCCCCGAGGCCCGGCAAGGGCCCCCAGTGGCCGAAAATAACGAAAAACCTCCTGTCGCGATTTTTTCGCAGCGCGAGGGGGACTGGGCGTGGGGACCACCAAGTCCCAACTTTGGACGCCCGAAATGGGCACGGAAACAATGCGCACAATGCCCAACAGCAAATGTTGTCCCAAGCCAACAGCGGCCGCTGTTGGGCAGGCGGCCTCCCGTCTCGAGTGGACATGGGCCGCGGCGGCGCGGACAGCGAGCCCGGTTCAAAATGAACAAGAACTGCTGTTGGGCATTGTGCCCATTTCGTTCCGTACCTGTTTCGGAAGTCTCGGGAGCGGCCAAGAGGGGGGTGTCCAAGAGGGGGGGGTGCAAATCATGACCGGCGGCACGTGCGCGGCCCAGCGGGGGGGGGCCTGGGACGCAATGAAATTAGAAGAGGCGCCATGAAATCTGAGGAAATCTCATGGCCCGCGCCATGATATCCACCCCCTAGTCATCACCCCCCTCTTTTCCGCCCCCGACGGACGTCACACCCACCAACCATCGACTCTCCGGAATCGACGGGCGCCAGGGGTAGGGCTCGATTTCGAGAGGCCTCCCAGATGGGGTCGGAGTAGATGGGGTCGGAGGATCTCGCCGCATCGCCAATGCATCGGCGATACGTCGGCGATGCATCGCCGACGTCGGCGAAAGTCCTGACCAAACCCCGCCCCCTCGAGGAGGGCCGGGGCCCCCACGCGCGCCGTGCACCTCGGGTCCCGGCGGAGGGCGCGTGCTGGGGCCGCGCCCCGCCTCCTCGGGGGAGGGCGGGGGAGGAAGAGGTGGCCGCACCGCTACCCGGGCCCCCTCCTCCTCCTCCTCTTCCTCCTCCTCCTCCTCCTCCTCCTCCTCCTCCTCCTCCTCCTCCACTCCGACGTCTCGATTTGTTCGAGACGCGGGCCCCCGACCTCCCGACCACTTCCCCGGGGCCGGTTCTTCGGCCCGAGTCGTTTCTTGACGGTCCCGCAGCCCGGCGAGGGCCCCGGAGGGGCTGAAAGCGACGAAAAGCTTCGTCTCGATTTTTGTCGAGACGCCCGATGTCTGGGTACCATTCGCCCGTTTTCGCCTTTTGGGGGGCCTCCTGGGAGGCCCTCGTAGCCAACGCTGGGTTCGCCTCGAACTTCCAGTTAGAGCGCACCCGGGAAGGGGTCCGGGCCGTAGCGGCAGGGGTACTCTCTGGTTTCCCCAGAAGGGCTCGAGTCCTCGGGGGGTCCACGCTGCGAAACGAAGCACGACGTCCGGGGCGCACGATCAAGACTGTCGAAGTGGCAGTGGGCGACTCGGGCAGGCGGAGAAATAGATCAATGACTCCAGACTTGGACATACATCGAGAACGCAGTATTGGCCTAAGACTTTGGCGAGGCGATTTCTATTCTAGTGTGTGCACAGAGCCATGGGCGGCACTGCCACCTCGCACACGAATGCAACGCGAATGGTGCCAGGAACGATCGACGGACGGCAAACCCATGCCCCAGCGTCTACACAGCAGCAGCAGCAACCAACAGGCATGCTGGACAGGAGGCGCAAGCGAGACACGACAACAACATGATGACTCGTAGTACCAGGCGGCCTGAGCCACACCACATTGACTATTTGACCGCTGCTGCAGAGCAAGATTGCGGCGGAGGACCGAAGAGTCAAACCAGCGCGGCGGACCAAAACGATCAAACGGCTGGGTGGGCAAACGCGGCAAGCAGCGCATGGGCTGGAACGCTGAGAAGAGTACCAGAAGCACGCCAATGCCAAGTACGTGCACATGGAGGAGTGCAGGATGCGCGGAGAAGGGGGAGAATAGTAAAGGCATACTCGAGGCCATGTCGCAAAAGGCTCCCTGCAGAGAGACACGGCAACCACAGAACGCGCACTTGGTGGCAGGACAGTGCTGCTGACGGCACAGCCCCAAGCTCGCCCGCGGCGCTTCGAACGCCAGCGCTAATCTCCTGGAGACCGTAGGCATCGATGCTATGAAGGGGGAGGGGGAGAGAGAGAGAGAGAGAGAGAGAGAGAGAGAGAAAAAAAAAAAGAGAACGAGAAAGAGAAATAGAGAGAGAGAGAGAGCGATTGCCGCGCGGCTGGCGGCCAACTGGGCGCACGTGCTTCAGCACAAGAAGACCGACGAAAGGAAACTCTCAGTCTGGGCGAGACTTTGAGGGGCAACAGGAGGGGGTGACTGGCGCAGGGGGGAACATCTGCCTGGAATCGGCGATGAGTCGCCGATAGTCAGAGCGTGAATTACCTCCCCCGCTTTCGCTTCCAGGCAAAACCAAGCCATACCACGCGCCTCCTCGTCAAGCGGCCTGACCAGTACAGGCCGCAATTTGGCATTGTTTGGTATCTCTTGGAAGCGAGGGTGATCGAAAGCGATGTATGTTTGTTGTCCCCCGAGATAGATCGGCGACGTGAATCCGCACGCTCCTGGGCGGAGTGGGCCATCGGGCCCCTGTCAGCCACCAGTGGGTGATCGGGGGTCGCTGCGCCCCCCCTCCCCCCGAAAATGTCTGCGGTCGGGAGCTTCTGCCGCCCGGGCCGCTGCCGCAGAGCTGGAAGGCGGAGGCGGCCGAGCTTCGGCGGCAGCGAGCCCGCACCCCGGCAGCGGGAGCGCAGCCTGAGTTGGAGCCGACAGGGCGCTGCTGGCACAGATCGAGGCGCTGCGAAAGGATGCACGCTGGGTGTCTCGGGGTCGGCGGGATGGAGGCCATCGCTGAGCAGCATGCTAGCGTGAACGGGCCCTGGGACACACAAATAAATACACACACACACATAAATATTCCCCATAATTTCCCATAGTTTCTGGGTTTTTGTCTTCCCCCCCACTTCCCATATGTTCCCATATTTTCTGGGGAATCGCCGATTCATTGTGTCTGTGTGTTTCTTTCCCTCCTGATAGCGGTCGGGGACAGCTCGGGACGTTGCCGTTTGGGCATAGGGGGCGTGGGCAGCGCGTCGTGCCGCAGCGTGGTGGGCCTGAAGCAGCGGAGCGGCACGCTGAGCCAACGATCCTGACCGCATCGAGCGCTTTGTGTTTTCTACGCTTCGCGACAACGGCTCTGACCAGGATTCTCCCGAAGCTCGGCTGCGACTTCACCTCCTCTCGGCGGCGAGCTCGGAGGGGCAGAGAGGAGGGGCGGGGCTTCTCAGAGGGCTCCGATGCCCCCCTGCCTTCTGAGACGTTTTCTCAGCCTTCCTCGAAGACTCGGAAAATCTCTGAGAAGGCCGGAAGGCTTCTGAGAAACCCCGCCCTGCCCCCCTTCACCTGGTGACGTCATGGTTCACGCCGTCGCCGTGGGAATTGCCGGGGGTAGCTCATTCCCAGACGGGGCGGGCGCGAATCGTGACGTTATCAGACCCCTCGCTCTCCCCCTCCCCTCGCGGTGAAGGCCGTTATCACCAGGCCAATAACTGCCGTCATCGCCAAGGGGGAAAAATAACCCGTCCTGGGAAAACCAGAAGGTACCGATACCGCTACTCTCTGGACACCTCCCGGGGTGCGTTCTGACCAAAATGTCACGGCAAATCCAGCGCAGACGACGACGAGGGCCCTCCAGGAGGCCCCAAAAGAGGAAATCGAACGACGCCGACCCAGGCTGGCGGGCTTCCCCGCGAAGCAGATAGCGACGAACACGACGACGGCGCAGTCCTGGCTGACGAGCCTCCTCCCAAAAGAGGTGAGGTGAACGAGGAGGATGGCGAAAGACGACGACGACTGGCGCGACGATGGCGGTCCTGGCTGGCGAGCCTCTTCCCTTCGTCGTAGCCCCGCGCCGCCTCCTGTGGGAGGGCGCGCCACTGTACAACTGGATATGAACAACTGGCGGGGCAAGTCCTACATCTGTACACGTATATTCGCGCAGCAATTCATACACACACACATATATATATATACAAACATATGTACATATATACAGTAAGAGAGGGATATATATATATGCATATATATATATAGAGAGAGAGAGAGACATCAATCCATATGTGTATATGCATACACACTTCTATGTATATATATATATATATGTATACATATTTGTTGCGACGCGCGCGGACCTGGCATGAGCAGCGGCGCATGGGCGGGCTCGGAGGAATGATTGCTCCCCCTCCCCTCGCCATCGCTCGGACGCCCCTCCCCCCATGCGCTTGACGACATCGTGCGAGCATGTCTTCGCAGGAGGAGCCCAGAGGCTCCTCGAGGGCCCCCGCCGAGAAGAAACAAAAATGCACGCGCCCGAGCGATGCCGAGGCCCCCCTGGCGTCCTGGGCGCTGCCCAGGGCCCGCCTGGCCGGCGCCGCCGCCCAGCGCGCCCTCAGCGGGGCCATCGTGAGCTCCGTCTGGCGGGCGGCGCTCCGGCCCGCGGCGGCCGACGAGTCGTCGCCGACGTCGCCGCCACCGCCGCGCGCCACCGCCCGCCGCTGCCGCCGTCGCCGTCGTCAATTCGTCATCGCCGTCTTCTCCGTCGCTCCAAGGTAGAGAGGTGAGGAGGATGGGCTTCTTCCTCCCGCTCTTCCACCCCTCCGCCTCGTCCTCGTCCTCGTCCTCGTCCTCGTCCTCATCCTCATCCTTCTGCTTGTCACCCTCCTTCTCTTCGTCCTCCGTCATCTGTAAGACGAGAGCGGGAAAAAGACAGGATCGGATTAGGATAAGCCAAGGATTTCTCAAGTCCGAATGGTCTGACGGCCCAAGAGGCCCCACAGATGGCCCCAAGAGGGGGAACTCGAACTGAGATTTCGAGCCCTCCGTCCCAAGATAGCCCCCGAGACCGCCAGCAGGCCCCTAAGACACCCCCAAGAAACCCCAGGAGGCCCGAAAAGAGGCCCCAAGATGCACCCCCAAGAGGCCCCTAGACACCCCAAAAACGCCTCCAAGAGGCTTCCAAGCATACAACAGGCCTCTGGCCTACAACCCATGCGCAGTGGCGGGATGGGCCGAAGGCCACTAGAGTAGGATCCGCCGGCACCCTTGTGGGCCATCAGGCTGCGGAGACGAAGTTCCCTGCAACCTGCTCCAGTTCCAGTTTCCAGTCTCCTACTGTCTGCTTCAAACTGTAATTTGTTCCTCTTCGCGCGAGGGGGCGGGTCGAAAACCACCCAGGCCACCGTCTCCTAATAGCGTGCTCTAAATTGCTGGGTAGCCCCCTGGGACCCGTGAAAACACACGAGACTCGCACCCCCGATGCAGGACTCCCTCGTGAATTGCACCAGGCTCGCGCCTTGAGGCCATGATCCCGTACAAATTTCCCCGAACGCACGTTCCCGAGGCCACGATCCCTTGCAAAATGCATGGGGCCCGCTCCTCCGACGCCACGCTCCTCGGAAAACGGCACCGGATTTTCGCGCCAGAGGCCCTCACCCTTTGTGAATTACGCTAGGGGTCGCACCACCCAACGCCACGATCTTTTGTAAATTACGCCTGGTGCGCGCCCCCGAGGCCACGATCCTTTTTACGCTGGACTCGCGTTCCCGAGGCCACGACCCTGCGTACATTTTATTAGATGCGCCCTCCCGAGACTGCGATCCGTTTTCAATTACGCTAGATTCGCGTTCCCGGAGAAACGATCCCTAATACATCGCCCCCACGTGGCCCCTATCCCTTACGGCAGATTAGCGCTCCCGAGGCAGTAATCCATTGTACATCACGACGGGCTCGCGATCCCGAGTAAACAGCTTCTCGTACATGACGACAGACTCGCGCTTCTGAGGCCACAATATTTTGCAAATTACGCCGGGCTCGCGGTCCCGAGACCGCACTCTGTTGAAAGATTGCCGCAATCGCACTCCCGATGACGCAACCTCTTTACAAACATTGCGAAAACCACCTCGTGCCCCCGAAGCACGAGTCGCTGTAAGTTACAAATGCTCGCGCCCCTGAAGTCCGAACCCTGGGGGCGGGAAGGATGTCCGCAGCCCCGCCTCCGCGGGACGAGGTCCGAGCTATATTACACCCCTGGCGCCTCCACCGCCGCTGGGACGGGACAACTCCACCGCTCCCCTGGGAATCTGCATGCCATGGGATCCACCGGGAGTCGGCGACGAGCGTGGGGGGCAAGTGAGAAGGGGCGGGCCTTCTCAGAAGGCTCGAAAGACCTCGGGCCCTCTGAGAAGCCCCGCCGCCTTCTGAGAAGGCATTCTCCTTCTCATTTCCCCCCCATCGTTCGCCACCGAACCAAGAGGCCCCAACGTCGACACGGCAGGATTCAAGAGGGGCGCGGATTTTCCCTTGTGGCGGGATCACTGCAGGCCCTGGGCGACGTTCGCAGGCAGCGCGGTCGGCAATGGCGTCTGACTTGGCGTTGCACCCTGTCCGTGATGACATTGCATGGTGTCACCAGCGTCCATCGCACGGGATCGGCAGAGGTAAGTTCTGGCTCGCGCTGCGAATAGTTGCAACTAAGAAGAGAAGATGTGATGGCTTCAACAAGCCAGACAGCCTGAAGGCGGATAAGTTGGACGCTCCAAACAAACCATGGGAGCACCGAGCGCGAGTCTCGGCGGCGCACCACAGCTCCCCACAGCTCATTGGCGGCCCGTATGGCTCAGGATGGCTCCAGGGCGGCTCAGGACGAGCTCGCATGTCCACAAAGTTATTTCCAGGCGCCCCCAGAGGTCTCCAGGAGACGCCTAAGATGGCCACACGACGCCAACACAGAGCTCCGAGGCGGCTCCGCGTGAGGAGGAGGAGGAGGAGGAGGAGGAGGAGGAGTTTTCCCCTCTGGGGGTCCACCGTGGCTCCTGCTCTGCGGGCTCGCACGCTGTCTTCAAGCCAGCACGCCCAGCATGAACTGCACAGCTTCGTGGCGCCTCCAATGCGTGCCTGTCGCTTCCGAACGAATGCGCAAGCAATGATCACGTTGCGGCAGCCTTCCACTCACGCCGTGCTTGATAAACAACCTGATTTGAACAAGTCCATGGCCAAGTCCATGGCGAAAGATGCGTTCGTTCGTTGCCCAAGAACAAAGACAGAAGCCCCAAAGACATCGCGACTGAAAGCCGTCCTCGCATGAGCTTCCGATATTGCTTCAATACTTCGCTCAGGCATCCCCGCACAGCTCCGGCGCATCCAGTTATGAAATGTATGATTGAACACGAGAGGGAACATCTCCTTCGCCTTGTCCTGCTCCCTTCCGCCTTAATCCCCCTCCTCCTCCTCCTCGTATTCGTCGTCGTCGTCTTCAGGGTCGGCGGCGCCGGCCGCAAGGCCTTAGCAATAGAGAGAGGGGGGCTGGCGGCAGAGGGCGAAACCTGCAGGGATCAACCCGAGGTCTGCCTCCGAGGCCCGGCGGGGTTGTTGGGCAGGTGGGGCCGGGCGTCGCGGTCGTGCCGGAGCGCCCCGGAGATCTTCTTCCGAGCGCGCCCTGGAACGATCTTGCGACCATCCCAGGCCAGGGCTGGACCTAAGCGCTGCTGTTAGTTTTGGTTTCCTTGTGTTCTCTTCGTGTTGCTCCACCTGTATTCCTGCACCTCACTGCCAGAACGAAGGACACAACACAGCCGAAGTCCAGCAGAACAGCGTTCAGGTCCAGCCCTGTCCTAGGCATGCCCGAAAACCAGCCATGTTCGGTTCACGTCTCGACGACTCATGGCTCAAATCGGGAATGAAACTAACCAGCCGTGAATTCAGCCGCCAGTTCGCCTGATTTTGAAGGGGCCCTGGGACACACAAATAAATACACACAAATAAACTGATTCCCCATATTTCCCAATATTTTCTGGATTTCTGTCTTCCCCCCCACTTCCTATATTTCTTATATTTTCTGGGGAATCGAGGATTAATTGTGTGTGTGTTTTGGTGCTTTGGTGCATCGGCAGCCTGGGGCGTCGACACCTCTCCAGGCCCGAGCGCTGGGCCCTCGAGCGACCTTCCGCCGCCTTCCGAGCCTGGCGGGGCCGAGTCGCGGGCAGCGCCCCCGCCAACTCCCCAGGGTGCAGAGCGCCGAGGCCCCCAAGGGCCGCGCCCCACCCTGGGCCCCTCAGCCTGGCGCCAAGGGGGGCCGAGAACAGCAAGCGCCACGCCCAGGCCACCCGCGAGCGGGAAGAGAGGCCCGAGCGCCCCGAGCGGCCACCTCCGCCCAGGCTCCTCAGCTCGTGTGTGTGTGTGTGGTGTGTGTGTGTGTGTGCGTGTGTGTGTGTGTGTGTGTGTGTGTGTGTGTGTGTGTGTGTGTGTGTGTGTGTGTGTGTGTGTGTGTGTGTGTGTGTGTGTGTGTGTGTGTGTGTGTGTGGGGAGTATGTGTGTGCGCGTGTGTGTGTGGTGTGTGTGTGTGGTGGTGTGTGTGTGTGTGTGTGGTGTGTGTGTGTGTGTGTGTGTGTGTGTGTGTGTGTGTGTGTGTGTGCGTGGCGTGTGTGTGCGTGTGTGTGTGCGTGTGTGCGTGCGTGTGGTTTCGTGCGTGCGTGCGTGCGTGCGTGCGTGTGTGTGTGTGTGGTGTGTGTGTGTGTGTGTGTGCCCGTGTGGGCGGTGCCGGTGCGTGTGCGTGTGCGTGTGCGTGGGCGTGCGTGTCGCGTGCGCGTGCGCGGCGCGGGCGCGTGCGCGTGCGCGTGCGTGTGTGCGTGGTGTGCGTGGTGTGCGTGTGCGTGTGCGTGTGCGTGTGCGTGTGCGTGTGCGTGTGCGCGTGTGCGTGTGCGTGTGCGTGTGCGTGTGCGCGTGTGCGCGTGTGCGCGTGTGCGCGTGTGCGCGTGTGCGCGTGTGCGCGTGTGCGCGTGTACGCGTGTACGCGTGTGCGCGTGTGCGCGTGTGCGCGTGTGCGCGTGTGCGCGTGTGCGCGTGTGTGCGTGTGTGCGTGGGTGCGTGTGTGCGTGTGTGCGTGTGTGCGTGTGTGCGTGTGTGCGTGTGTGCGTGTGTGCGTGTGTGCGTGTGTGCGTGTGTGCGTGTGTGCGTGTGTGCGTGTGTGCGTGTGTGCGTGTGTGCGTGTGTTCGTGTGTGCGTGTGTGCGTGTGTGCGTGTGTGCGTGTGTGCGTGTGTGCGTGTGTGCGTGTGTGCGTGTGTGCGTGTGTGCGTGTGTGCGTGTGTGTGCGTGTGTGCGTGTGTGCGTGTGTGCGTGTGTGCGTGTGTGCGTGTGTGCGTGTGTGCGTGTGTGCGTGTGTGCGTGTGTGCGTGTGTGCGTGTGTGCGTGTGTGCGTGTGTGCGTGTGTGCGTGTGCGTGTGCGTGTGTGCGTGTGTGTGTGTGTGTCCGTGTGCGTGTGCGTGTGCGTGTGTGGGTGTGTGTTTTCTCCTCCTGAGATTTCTCCCCCTGAGTGATCAGGGAAACATGGCAGGCCGCCGCCTCCATCTGGGCGGGCACGCTGCTGACTTTGACGGCGACCCTGGCGCAGTCCACCAGGGCGTGCTCGCTCGACCTCACGCCGATCTCTGCCAGGCAGGCCTGTCGTCGTCGTCGTCGTCGTCGCCGCCGTCGTCGCCGCCGCCGTCGTCGTCGTCGTCGTCGTCGTCGTCGTCGTTGCTGTGGCCACCGCCGCCGCCGTCTTCAGGGTCGACTTCGACGACGCCGTCGCCGTCGCCGTCGCCGCCGCCGTCGCCGTCGTCGCCGCCGTCGCCGTCGCCGTCGCCGTCGCCGTCGTCGTTGTCGTCGTCGTCGCCGTCGTCGTCGTCGTCGCCTTCACTCCGAGGCTCTCGGAGCTCTGCGCCACCTCGAGGGTCGCGCGCCGCACGGACAGGGACGCGGCGGGCAGCAGCGCATTCCTGGGGCTCTGGGAAAGTCTGCACCGCCACAGGGCCTCCACGGGCCCATGTCGGCCCCAGGTCCCCACGTACTTGGGCGTCGATTCATGGGGGGGGGGCGATCAGTGGGGGGGAGACCTTTGGGGCCCGAAAGGGCCCCTTCAGGGGCCCTAAAGTGTCCCTTTTCTGCAGCCCTCGCTGCCCCCCTTCGCTTATCGGCCCCCCACTACGCGACGCCCAACGCACATCGGCGTTGGCCAGGCTTGGAGGCCATGTAACCCCTCGAACGTTACAAGCAGCCTGGGAAGCGTCCTGGCAAGCGCCTCTCGGGCGCTCCTGGCAGCCTGGGACGCGTCCTGGCAGGTGCGTCAAGGTCTGGCCCAGTGCGGGCCAGTGGAGGCCTGGCGGCGGGGCGTGCTTTCGCCAAGAGGTCATTTTTCACGAGCAGGGCTCGAGCCAAACAGTGGTTTTCGTATTCGTGCTGCTGTCATGCTCCTTCGTTCTGTCTTCTTTTCTGCCTTTGCTGCGGAACGAAGTCAAAACGAAAATGGTCCACGAAGTCGCCAACACATCATTTAGCTCGAGCCTCGTTCGCGAGCACACAACCACCCACCGCCACCCCACCCGACAACGGCCCCTTCTGGCCCCCTCACGCGCACCGACCCCAGACCCCGAACGCGAGGCCCGCCCCCACGCCCAGCGACGAACAGCCCATTCCTCTGCCCAGCTGGGGGGGAACGTTGATGAAGGGGCCCTGGGACACACAAATAAACAGGCACAAATAAAGGGTCTCCCCATATTTTCCCATACTTTCTGGGTTTTCGTCTTCCCCCCCACTCCTCATATGTTCCGATGATTCCTGGGGAATCGACGGTGAATTGCGTCTGTGTGTGTGTTTTCCCCTCCTGAGTTGAGTGGGGGAGGGGCTCGCTCCGGGGGGAAGCATCGCGACCTGGGCGACGATCGAAGACCGGTCTTGCGCGAGATGGCACAGCGACCCCACGCGGCGACGCACGCGGGCCGCCCGCGCGGCGCGCCACACTGCAGGCGAGGGCGCTCACGCGCGGCCTTACGCGGGCAGCTTGCGCGCCAACGTCGGCGCAGACGGCCCCGTTTTCTCGAGTCGCCCACCTGGTGTCGGGGATGCATCGCTGGCACATGGGCGACAGGCCCCCGATAGCGACTCCACACGCTCCTAGGAGGGGTGAGCCTCTCGGGCCCTTCCCGGCCGTCAGGGGGGGATTGGGGGGTCGATGCGTCCCCCCGTGAGCTTGCTCCCTCCCCGAACGTCAGGTCGGGCATGTCCTCCTACAGGCGGATTTCGGACGACAGATTATATGAATTCCCGAAACATGCTGCTCAAGACTAGCCAAGAAGAGTGCAGAAATCGTCCCCGCACTATTTCTTGACTACTTGGGAATCTTCCTCCTGCAGAGAAGACGGGCCCGACTTGACCCCCACGTTGCCCCTGACCAGCCCCGCGGCCCGCCCACCACCCCGCGCCCGCGCGGGGCTGCCCCCCCGCCCCCCCCGAGCTCCCCAGGCAGATCTCGAAGTGCCCGAAGTCCACGTCCACCCGCAGCTCCCTCCCCGCCCCGGCAGCGCCCCCCGCCCCCGGCGGCTCGTCCCCGGGGGCGCGCAGCTGCTGCGGCGCGGGCGGGGCCGCCGGAGCCGCGGGCGCCCCGGCGCCGAGCCGCGCGAGGGGCGCAATGGCGTAGTCCAGGCCCGCCCTCGACTGCCCGAGGAACCGGGTGAGCTCGCTGTTCACGTGCACCCTCACGTCGTTGCTGGCGACCCGCACGGAGGTCGCCCCGCCGGGCTCGAGGCCGAACTGCAGCCTCAGGTTCGGGAGCGCGTACACGCTCAGCGGGTCGCCGGAGGACCTGACCAGGACCGCGCTCGTGTCTTTGAGCTCGCAGGCGCAGCCGAAGGCCACAAGGGAAACCCCAGCGGCCTCGGGCATCCGGGTCCACATGGCGCCCGACGCGGTGCCGTCGTGGCTGCCGGTGCGCGCGCAGAAGTGGCCGAGCCGCATCTCGAGCCTGGCTGCCCCGTGCGGCACCTCCCAGTGCAAGATCGGGGCCTCAATGCTGACGTCCATCCTCACCGTGGCCTCGGCCGTGGACGACTCCGAGGCGACCGACGCGAAGCTGCTCACCGCAGACGCGCCCGCCTGCGGGGCCACGCGCCCCGGCGGCAGCGAGGGGGCCCCGCAGGGCTCTCCGGCGGGGCGCGGGAGGCCGCCGCCCTCCCGGCACCACTCCAGGAGCGGGCCGGCGATGTCCACCGCCGTGGCGAGCACCCCGTGCAGGCGCCACGAGGCCAGCCGCACCAAGATCGCCTGTTGCGGGTGCCATGGCAGTTTAAAAACCCTAAACATCCGATCGTTGCACCAAAACTTGTGCTCAAAATGCTTGAATCGTGTCAGCAAACATGTTTAAGGCATGCTTCCACCTGCTCAAGACATGATCAACACATGTCTTAATTAGACATCTGAAAACTCCTTGGCGACATGTTTCCTCTCCGCCGATCGTCGTCCACCCATCGCCTTCTTCTTCACCTCCAGCCGGGCGTCGAACGGGGGCGACCCCGACACGAGCGCGTCCCGCTGCGAGAGCTCCAGCCGCATGTCCAGGGCGTGCTCGCTCTGTCCCGGCCGCCCCAGCTCCACCAGCGGCACCGGCTCGCTGCCGAGCTGCACCGTGAGCGAGGCGAGGTGGGCGCGGCCGTCGACGTCCCACAGGTGGGTCGTGGTCTGGCAGACCTGCGGGGCCTTGGCCCTGACCTCGACGCAGCAGGCAGCATCCTGCACGTCGAACCGCAGGCTCGAGGAGCTCCCGACGCACCTGAGCATCACGTGCACGATCTCCAGGTCGACCTCGCAGGGATCGGCCCGATCAGCGTTCTTCGTGCCCGTTCTGTTTTCGTTTTCCCTCGTTCTGTCTTCAGCCCGCCCCTGCCCCAAAACGGCATCGAAACGTAAGCGGCCCACAAAATCACCAACATCGCCGTTTAGGTCGACCCCTCCGACCAGCCATAACTGGGGGAGCTGTGGTCCTTCCCCCCTAGGGGAACCCATCGCCTCGACGATCTCTCGAGAGGGGTGTCGAAATCGATGGGTCCCCCAGGGGGGTAAGGACCACAGCTCCCCCAGTTGTGGCTGGCCTGCCCCCGCTGCCTTGATCTCCATGGGCAGCTCGACCTCTGGCACCAGGCCGGCGCCGATGGCGTCGTCCAGCAGGCCCTCGGCGACGGCGCCGCCGACGAAGTCGTCCAGCGCTGCCAGGGGCTCCTGCAGGGAGGCGCCCGGGGGGCAGAACTGGCTGGGCCCGGAGAGGAAATCCGCCAAGACGCACGGCAATCCGCTCAAAACCTGCCCCCCGGACCCTCCAGTGCCCATGTCTGGTGCTACTCTTCACCCAAGACCTAGCTCTGACGGTCCCGCGGGGGCCGGAAAAGGCAAGTCAAGTCAAGCAAGCCTTGCACCGGCCGGTGCGTGAGCAAAGTGAAACGTCAAATAGGCGTGGCGCCGGTCACACTAAGGTGACTCAGAGGAGGAGGAGGAGGAGCAGGAGGAGGAGGAGGAGGAGGAGGAGGAGGAGGAGGAGAAGGAGGGGGAGACAAAAAGGCAAAGAGACAACAATAAAATAAAAATAAACGAAACCATCGAGCCCAGAACCCTGAAAAACGCTTCCCCCCGTGCCTGCTGGCCGGAACCAGTGCAGGGCCAGCCCAGGCCCCCCCAGCCGCGGGCCCCGGCCGGCCCCAGGGAGCTCCTGCTGCTCCGGAGCCTCCTGGCCCCGGCTGCCCGTCGCCCAGGAGGTCCACGTCCAGCTCGCCCGAGCAGGCCTCGAGGCCGTCGAGGGCCTCGGCTGGAGGCTGGCCTCCTCGGAGAGAGGAGGAGCAAGAAGCTGCACACACACACACACACAACAAAACAAATTCTCGGAGGTGCGCGCGGGTTGCTTAGATCGGCCCTGGGCCACCCTCCCTGGCGCTATGTCGGGCCTGTCCCCCTACAGGGGCACTGTCGACGAAACAATAAAGATACCAAAAAAAATACCCCCAAAAAGGCCCCAAAAATACTCATAAAATAGTCCCCTGATTATTTTTGGAGCATGCTTGGATTATTTTGGGGGTATTTCTTATTTTTCGTCGGAAATCCCCCTGTAGGGCAACAGGCCCGACTTAACCCTGGCGCGCGGAGCGCTCCAGGAGGCCCAGGCGCAGATCCAAGATTCCGCGCGGACCGTCGAGCGTGTGTGTGTTTATGCAGGTCTCTCTTCTTCGACTCCTTCTGCAGCTTGCGCACGTGGATCCGCCACGCCGCGATCCACTCGGCGGGGGCCGCGTCCTCGATGCTCCGCAGGTCCTCCAGGTTCAGGGCCTCCCCCCGCAGCTTCCGGGTGTACAGCTTCGCGTAGTCCCGCCCAGCCTCCTCTCCGGGGCCCCCAAACCGTGTGGTGACGACCGCGTGTTGACCTCGGCATCCCCCAACGACCTAACTGCGCGGTCCGTGAGCTGCACGGTCTGTGGACCTCGGAGGCCCCGGTCGCTCGAGACATCCTCGGAGACCGTCCCGAGCCCCAATAACCGCGCGGTGCCCCTGAATCCCATTTGACTCACCACGCGGGGTGGTCACAGCTCGCAAACCGCCCACGTCATGAGGTTTCCACGACGTGGGCCCACGGAGGTCTCGACCCATCACCCGGGACCAGCTTCTCATCCTGCGCCGATGTTGGACGCTCCTGGAGCCCCGGCGGGCCCCCGAGAGACCGAACATCGAGAAACATCGGCCGTCGCGATCTTTTCATGGCCCGAGGGGGTCTGGGCCTGATGCCCCCGATCCTCGTTTGCGGCGCGCAGAGTCTGAGGGAGGTCGGGGGAGGGGGGACGGCTTCTCAGACGGAGACTGCTTCTTTGAAGGCGCGGGCGCGGGCCCGCAGACAAGGCTCGCGCCTTCTGAGAAGCGGGTGTGCTTCTAAGAGGCCTTCCTCCCTCTCCCTCTCCCTTTACTCCCCTCTGCGTGTGGCCGACCCCCCCTTCACCAGACCCGCTCGGGTGTCCTCCGAACGCGCAGGCCGCGCCAAGCTGAGAGAGGGCCGTTGGCCAATCAGGAGTAAAAGTAGCATAGTAAGGAGGCGGGGGAGGATTGGGATGAAGAGGGAGGGGAAGGGGAAACACGTGGCGGGGTAGTAGCAGCAGGTCGGCCCCCTCTGCGCGTGGCTGACTGGTCGGGCAGGGGATCGACTTCAGAATTGACCTGCCCCAGACTCGACGCGCTCGCCGAATCTGCCAAGCGGGTACGCCGAGTTAGTGTAGAGCAACGAGCATTCACCAAATTGTTGTTAGGCTCGGCGAACAGGCACTCTTGGGGCAAATCCACTCTGTGGTCGCTGCCCTGCTCGAACCGGGGGCCCCCGATCCTCGGTCAGCGCCACGACGTGCGCCTGCCCCTCGGCGGCGTGCCCCGGGCCGGCCATCACCGACGCGAGGCACCGGCAGGCCAGCCGCACGGTGTCGGGCCGCAGCGTGGCGGGCGTGTCCCCGCGCGTGGACAGCTGCAGGTGGACCATGCGCTCCGAGGCCGCGTGGTGCAGCTTGGCCTCAGCCGGTCGGGTGATGCGCGAATGCCCCCTGATGATGATGGTGATGGTGATGGTGATGGTGATGCTGATGGTGATGGTGATGATGATGGTGATGATGATAACAATGAGTAATGATGATGGCAATGCTGATGATGATGGTGCTGAAGCTGATGATGATGGTGATGATAATTATTATGGTGCGGATGATGGTGATGATGTTGATGCTGCTGAGGATGCTGACGATGCTAAGTATGATGATGATGACGATGGTGATGATGGTGGTGATGATGATGATGATGATGATGATGATCCTGATGACGATGCTGATGATGATGATGATAGGGGATCATCACCATGCTGTTGCTACTGCTGCTGTTGCTGAAGATGAGGAGGGTGATGATGAGATGATAATGATGCTGCTGATGATGATGCTGATGCTGATGCTGATGACCATGATAATGTTAATGGTGACGCTAATGATGATGATGATGATGATGATGATGATGATGATGATGATGATGATGATGATGATGATGATGATGATGATGATGATGATGATGATGATGATGATGATGGTGCTGTTGATGAGGATAAGTATGAGGACGATGATGAGAATGAGGATGAGGATAAGGATGAGGCAGAGGATGCTGCTGATGATGATGGTGATGATGATGACGATGAGAAGAAGGAGGAGGAACAGGACTAGGATGTGGAGGAGGGTCCGTAGTCCAGTCAAAACTGATACGTAATAGGTAAGGATGCGCGGTAAGGATGCAAGCCCCCTGGACGTCCGTGTTGAAGTTTTTTCGAGCGTGGCGGGCCATCGAACGTAGTCAAGGATGGACCAAAGAGTCACGGATGCAAGGGCACCCTTGGGAAGGCTACCCATCCTTACCATCGGTTTCGACTGTAACCAATTGGGTGTTGCCAGGAGGGCCCATGGCCCAAGGTGCCCCCAGGATTTCCAAGGAGGCCCCTACGGCCTCCAGAGCACCCCTCACGAGTCCCAGAGGGCCCCAGGGGCTAGGATCCGCAGGCCAAAGGCGATGGCAATCTTGGTGGATCATTGGGAATCGGCGGTGCCCTCAAATTCTGGGGGAATCTTTGAGATTTCTCGAGGTGATACCAAACACAAAGATCGGGATATGTTTCAAGCTGGTAGGGCCTCCAGCGCCACTGGCCCGAGGATCTTCTCCAGGCCCGCGCCGTCCTTGGAGGAAGAAAGAACGGCATAAACATAAACGTTCGGCGCTCCAGGTGGATTTCTTGGATCGGCGCAGGGCCCCTCTGGCAGCGCCTTTGGAGCCGCCCCTAGCGCGCTCCGCCCGATCCAAGCAATCCGCGCGGAGCTCAAAAAGTTTACGTTTCTGCCGTCTTTCACTCTTCGAGTCCTCCCGGAGCTCAAGGCCCTTGAGCTCGAAGACCTCTCGGCGACACGCAAGAGTGACCCGAGGCAAGAGTGACCTTTGGCAGGCGGGCTACAGGGGCGCAAGGTGGCCAAATCCAGGCGCGCAAGCAGCCATCATCGCATCGCTCTCAGCGATCGGGGGGGCCCCGGTGAGCCCGCACCAGAGGCAACTCCGGCGACAGGACACCCGCACGCGCAGTCGAACCTTGAAGAGGTCCCTGGAGTCCCTGTCGGGGGCAGAGCGCCAGTCGGAGCCCACGCTCTGGAGCTGCACAGACTCCAGCCCCAGGGACACCGGCGCCTGCGACCACTGCGCCCGGTCCTGCGCACGGGTTCCACCAAGGCCACATGGGGGCTTCTTAGAGCTGGCGGCGCGCCCGGGGGGAGCAGGGACCGAACATCGAGAAACATCGGCAGTCGCGATCTTTTCATGACCCGAGGGGGTCTGGGCCTGAGGCCCCCGATCCTCGTTTGCGGCGCGCAGGGGGAGGTAGGGGGAGGGGGGGAGGCTTCTCGGAAGCGCCCTGCTTCTTAGAAGGGAGAGGGCCCGCGCCTTCTGAGAAGCGGGGGTGCTTCTGAGCAGCCTCCTCCTCCTCTCCCCTACCCCCCTCTGCGCGCGGCCGACCCCCCGCTTCAGCAGGCCCGCTCGGGTGTCCTCCGAACGCGCAGGCCGCGCCAAGCTGAGGGAGGGCCGCTGGCCACTCAGGAGTGGGCGTAGCATAGGAAGGAGGCGTGGGAGGATGGGGACGAAGAGGGGGGGGGAAAGGGAAACACGCGGCGGGATAGCAGCAGCAGGTCGGCCCCCTCTGCGCGTGGCCCCCTCCCCCATACCCCCCTCCTCCTCCTCCTCCTCCTCCTCCTCCTCCTCCTCCTCCTCCTCCTCGTCCTCGTCCTCGTCCTCCTCCTCCTCCTCCTCCTCCTCCTCCTCCTCATCCTCCTCCTCCTCGTCCTCCCTATCGCCACTCGAGCGCGTTCTTTTACGTTTCGCGACAACGGCTCGTACTGGGGATGCCCCACCCCTTCCCCCCGACTCCCTGAGATCCTGGCGTTGCATTTTGTTGACAACGTGACAACGGGCATTTTCGTACAATTTCGGGTCCTGAGACCCATCTCGATCTGGCCCAGAAAATGATGCAGGAAGGTGGGGTCCCGGGCTCTAGTCGTGACTTTTTGCGATGTTGTATTTTTCTGTGCAACGTCGGATATCAGGGCTTTGTAGCGCCCATCATGGCCAGGGGGTAACAAAACTGGCCCCTGGCGTAGACTTCCTTGGCCCCATCTGGTCGACTTGCCCACCTAGATGGGGATATGCGATGTTCCCTTCGTGTGTTGTGTGGCCTATCCGAATCCCCACAGGGAGGATGGGCTGGTGGGACTGAGGAAGCATGACCCGGGGGAATGGAATTCGCTTCGACGAGGCGGAGGTCCAGCTGAATGTGGACGTTGTGGATCGAGGCCTGCAGCTGCCGCAGGATGGCGTGGGACGCCCTCGCCACGCGCCCGGGGGCCATGCCCTGGTCGCCAGCCTGCCGCGCCGCCTCGGAGGAGGAGACGGAGGAGGAGGAGGAGGAGGAGGAGGAGGAGACGGAAGAGGAGGAGGAGGAGGAGGAGGAGAAGGAGGAGGAGGAGGAGAAGGAGGAGGAGGAGGGGGAGGAGGAGGAGGAGGAGGAGGAGGAGGAGGAGGAGGAAGGAGGAGAAGGAGGAGGAGGAGGAGAAGGAGGAGGAGGAGGAGGAGAACGAGGAGGAGGAGGAGAACGAGGAGGAGGAGGAGGAGGAGGAGGAGGTGGAGGCCGCCTCGGCCGCCTCCAGCTTCGCCACGGCCAGCTCCTTGTCGGCCCGCGCCCTCTCCAGGTCTGGCCCGTCGCATACCGGCGGCGCCCCGCCAGGGCGTAGGGAGACCTCGCCGAGGAGGCTCCGCACCTCGAACACGCAGGGCTGCGACTCGAGGTGGCGCCAGGGGATGGAGACGTGCAGGTCGACGGCGCTGCTGATCAGCTCGAGGCCCAAGGGCCGCAGGACGGCCGGGTTGATGTGCGCCTTGAGGCAGGGCGCGAGCGAAACGTGCTTCCCGTTTCTGTGATGATGCTCTCGTTTTTCCTCGCTCTGTCATCATTCCGATTTTTTGCCGCAGGACGACATCGAAACGAAAACGGCCCACGAACGCGCCTCCTCCTCCTCCTCCTCCTCCTCCTCCTCCTCCTCCTCCTCCTCCTCCTCCTCCTCCTCCTCTCCCTCCTCCTCCTCCTCCTCCTCCTCCGCCTCCTCCTCCAAGTTATGGTGGTGGTGGTGGAAAACAGGCCCATGAAGAACGCCGCTTGGCCCGCGCCATGCCTTCAGGTCCAGCGCCCCCGTGTCGGCGCCCAGGCTGGCCTGCACCGTCTCCGGGGTGATGCCTTCCACGTAGTCCGACAGCGCGTCCGCCAGCTGCCGGACCTGAAGGGGCCCTGGGACACACAAATAGATAGACACAAGTAACAAGATTCCCCATGTTTTCCCATATGTTCTGGGGTTTTGTCTTCCCCCCCTTTCAATAGTTTCCCGCATTTCTAGGGAATCGACGATGAATTGCGTCTGTGTGTTTTGTTCCCTCCTGAGGACCACGAAGCTCTTCAGCCGCTGCATCCTTTAAGGCCTCCCGGACAGGGTGGACAGGGTCCGAGCAGATGGGGTCGGAGGGTCGCGCGCCGCATCGCCGATGCATCGCCGATGCATCGGCGACGTCGGCGGTGCACCAGCGACGTCGGCACAGAGAAAATCGGGCTCCACATCGAGCCGCATCGCCCATGCGTCGGCGCTGCGGCACGATCCTGCGACCCCACTTGCCCGGACCCCAGCCCGGAGCCAGACATCCGCCGATCTGACTTCTCAATCCGCGGCCCCAGAGGCCCCGACCCCTTCCCCGGGGGAGGAGGAGCTGGATAGAGGAGGAGGAGGAGAAAGAGGAGGAGGGGGAGGAGGAGGAGGAGGAAGAGGAGGAGGAGGAGGAGGAGGAGGAAGAGAAGGAAGAGGAGGAGGAGGAGGAGGAGGAGGACGAGGAGGAGGAGGAGAAGGAGGAGGAGGAGGAGGAGGAGGCCGAAATCCAGGAAAAAACGCCGGGCTGAGAAAATCAGCTCCTCGGATCTCGGCAACACGCAAGAGTGACCAGGGGTGACCTCTGACGCGCGACGCTCGGGGGCCACGGGGAGGCCGGACCCGAGCGCGCACGCCGCTGCTGTCGCCCCACATCCAGCCATCTGGGGACCCTGGTGCGCCCACGCGAAAGGTCACTCCAGTCCTGAGATGCGACGTTGCAGACAGAACGCGACCTCGCAAAGAATCGCGGCAGGAGACCCAGACCCCATCGTTCCGCGTCATTCTGCGATCCGGATCTATCTGCGAGGATCCTGGGGCCCGAAATCGTGCGAACACGCCCGATGTGAAAGATCTGCAACGTCAGGATCTCTGGGAATGCCACTGTGGCCGAGGATCTCTGGGGAGGCCCAGGAGCATCCTTCGGCGAGGCCCGCCCGGGCAGCGCCGCGGGGGCGGCCGCGACGGCGGGCGGGGGCCCGCTGGCAGCGCCGCCCGGCGCACGAGCTCCGGAGGATGATGGACCCATGTTCCACCACCACTACACATAGGAGGGGGAGGAGGAGGAGGAGGAGGAGGAGGAGGAGGAGGAGGGGAGGAGGAGGAACGAGGAGGAGCAGGAGAGGAGGAGGAGGAGGAGAGGACGAGGAGGAGGAGAGGAGGAGGGAGAGGAGGAGGAGGATCAGGAGGAGGAGGAGGAGAAAGATGAGGAGGGGGAGGAGGAGAACCTCACCCTCCTCCCTCCCTCCGCCCCCGTCCTGCCGATGGTGGTGGTGGCGGTGGTGGAAAATTGGTCCATCCGAGGAGGCCTTCCTCGGCCCGCCTCTGTGCCATGGGCGGGCCTCTCCGGCCCGGGGCGGGGCGGACCGGGCACCCCCTGGGGCCACGGCAGGCGACGCGAGGGCTCTGCGGCGGCTCGCCGCCTCTTCCTCCTCCTCCTCCTCCTCCTCCTCTTCTCTCCTCCTCCTCCTCATCCTGCTCCTCCCTGCCTCTCCTGCTCCTCTCCTCCTCCTCCTCCTCCTCCTTCCTCCCTCCTCCTCCCCCTCCTCTCCTCCTCCTGCTCATCCTTCCTCCTCCTCCTCCTCCTCCTCCTCCTCCTCCTCCTCCTCCTCCTCCTCTTCTCCTCCCCCTCCTCCTCCTCCTTCCTCCTCCTCCTCCTCCTCCTCCTCCTCCTCGCCCTCCTCCCCTTGCCCTCCGCCTCCTCCTCCTCCTCCTCCTCCTCCTCTCCTGCTCCTCCTGCTCTCTTCTCCTCCTCCTCCTCCTCCTCCTCCTCCTCCTCCTCCTCTTCAGCATCAGCAGCATCAGCAGCATCAGCATCATCATCATCATCATCATCACCACCATCATCATCATCATCATCATCATCAGCATCATCATCACCATCATCATCCTCATTATCACCATCATCATCATCGTCATCATCATCATCACCATAGTCATCCTTATCATCAGAAGTCTCATCATCATCAGCATCATAATCATCATCATCGTCATCATCAGCAGCAGCAGCATCCTCATCCTCATCCTCATCAGCAGCGGCACCATAATCATCAGCGTCAGCAGCATCATCATCATCATCATCATCGTCACCATCGTCATCATCATCACCATGGGGACCCAGAGGCAGGCGAGAAATGATTCCACCTTTCTGAGGCGACGTGCCTGGTGCAACCTGTCTTCGAGAACACTACTCAGTCATCGCGATGAGACCAAACGAGCGGAGGGTCCGAACACTGGGGCGGCCTTCGACGCACCGCCCACCTCCGCTCGAAGAGAAAGTTTTGTCTCTGCTACATTAGACGATGGGTGGCCCCGGGTGGGAGCCAAAAAGACTTCGGAGCTTGCGAGATGTTGTGACAGACCTGCTGGCAAACGACAAGCCGCTCTCTTACCCCATTCATGCGCACGCACTCCCATGGGGACCGAGAGCCAAGCGAGAAATGATTTCACCTTTATGAGGCGACGTGCCTGGTGCAATCTGTCTTCGAGAACACTACTCAGTCATCACGATGAGACCAAACGAGCGGAAGGTCCGAACACTGGGGCGGCCTTCGACGCACCGCCCACCTCCGCTCGAAGAAAAAGCACCAAAGCATCCCCAAAGCACCTGAGGATGTGACTCATGCTTGAAAGTATTTAGCTCGGATCGGGGCTACGAGCGCCCGAGCCAGCTCTCGATTGAGCTGTTGTGGGTACGGCTGTGCCTCCTGTGTCCACGGCACTCCGTTCGGCGCCGGGCCAGAAAGGATGATGTGTTTACGACCCGTCCGGCAACAGACGCCGTTGGTGCCGCTACACTGGCGTGAAAGCCCCTGGAGATCTTGGAAGGGAATGTTCCCGCACATTAGGGTTGTGCGTTTCTTCCAGGGGGTACCGAACTGACAAAAATCAATAGTCAACGTCGCCGCGGACGGGGAGGAGGCCAGGCGCTGGAACTCAGGAGCTTTAAACATGTAGCTGGTGTACGGGTTTTCCAAAATCCAAGAGGCACCAACGGCGTTGCACTCACGAATTATGGCCAACGAGGCCCTACAACATCTGTTGCCCTCCTTGAGTTTTTCCCAATCTTTAGGGCTGACCTCCTCCCTCGAAAACCCCCATGGTCGGCGGACAGAGCGGATGGGCGCTGCACGGATGCGTGCTATGCTGAAGCTGCTACAGGGAGGCGCCAGCATCACTGCCAAGCAGCGGCGCCGGCGTATGTCAGCCAGGAGCGGCTTCATCACGCGGCTGGAAGTGAGGTCGCCATGCGGGCCGTGGGAGATCTCCCAGGTGCGAGCCTGGAACCCCAGCTGCCTCAGAGCTTTGGCGACTCCGCCTTTGCCAGAGAACCCGTCGGCGATGTACTTGTCCCTCATCAACTCCGCCCCGAAACAGGGAGCGGCACGAGGCGCGCGTGGAGGGCGATCTCCGCGCCGCGATCCTCGCACTCCTGGAAGTAGGCCTGGAGGCCGGCTGCGCGCCGATGAAACGAGTCGGCAAGCCCGGCGTGCTTCTCGTAGCGGGCGACGCTTTTGCCTGACTTCCACTGGCCACGCTTCTGAACATCCAGCAGGGGGCGGGGGCCCCGAGCGCGGTCCAAACTCGGACCACTGTGGCGCGTCTGGTGCGGGACCAGGTCCGGCACGCCGATCAGCCGAGCAGCACGACGAAAGGTGTGGAGATACTCGCCGTAATCGAAATCCCAAAAAGGGAGCCTGACCCCGCCGCGGCCCGCAGGCGCTCCCAGAGCGGGCTCAGGTACTTGGCCCAGTCGCTGTCGAGCAGGATGGACACGACCGAGTCCCCGATCTTGCTCCGCCCTGGTCGCTCGTGAGGGTGGACAAGGGCTGACCAGTGGCGAGTGACGCCCTGCGCAGGAGGAATGAGCTCGGCCCCCCTCACGGCCAGGAGCGCCCCCGGCCTGACGTACGTCGAAACGGCCAGGAGGACGAACGCAGCCATCCGAGGCCGGTCGAGGTGGCACATGGCGTTCGCGAGGCCGAACCACGCGCCAAGGCCCTCTGGCTTCCGAGAGCGCCCGGGGCAAAGTTTGTGCCACCCCTGAAGCGCCCTCCAGGCCCGCGGGAGCTTCAAAGAGCCCCGGCGGCCGTAGGCAGGGTGCAGGTGGATCCAGCCCGCCAGAGCCTCGGCCCTGGTCGACGGCTGAAAGCCCTTGAAGAAGCACTGCTCGAGGTATGACGCGAAAACGTCGTCCACGGCGTCGGCCTCGGCGCGGTCCACGAGCACCCCCTGGGCCGCCGCGAACGCCGCGAAGGACGCCACCTCGTAAGCGCACTCGAGGTGGACCTTGTCCGTCACCGCGCGCATCTCGAGCAGGGTGTTCCCGTCGTTCCCGGCCCTGAATTTCTCCTCGAGGTAACGCCAGAGCCGGCGCTTCGACAGGGCCGCTAGCGTCCGCTCTCGCCGGGCGGCCCGCCCGACGCCCGCGGATGCGGGCCCAGTGCTCGAGGAGCTCGACGTGGGCGGCCTCGGAGTGCCGCGCCTGCCGACGTAGCTGCCGCTCTCCTCGCGGACGGTGTGCCTCGCCCACTCGTCCAGCGTCTGGCCCACGGGCGCCCTCGGCTGCAGGAGGACCTTCAACGGCAGCTGCGGCACGAGCTGTCTCGCTCGCGAGGTCCCCGCCCGCGTGCACGCGCGGGCTGGGAGCTGCGGCTCCGCCGCCACAAGGGTCCGCACCTTCCTCGCCAGGGTCGCTCCCGAGCTGCGACCCAGCCCGCCCCCTGAGGCCCGCGCGGACAAGGTCCGCCGCCGTTTCCGCTCCTCGCTCATCGGCTCGAGCCTGCGACGGCCGCGCCCTGCGGACGACGTCGGGGATGGCCCAGGCGAGCGGCGACGATGCTTTTTCCGAAGAGATTCGGGACGGCTCGTCACCAAAGTTCAGCTCGCTCGGCACCCACCTCACGTGCAGCCTGATGTTGCGGGCCAGCAAGAAACCGCTCAGCTTGCGCAGGACGGTCAGCAGCGCGAAGTCCCGGCAACGGCTCCGGCTCACGGCCAGCACCACCGACATGTTGTCGCAGAGGTGGAGGTGCCTGCGATTGCCGCCGACA